AATAAATCCCAAAAATCTCATCTCTTTTCTCAAGTGAAATATGTGATTTTTAAAAGCCCAAAAGCCAAATGTCCCAAAGCAACCATGGCAGCTCCTCCTATTTTTTCCCAAAGAGTTGGAATGGACTTGGATGCAAAGAGTTGGAATGAATTGAACTTTTATGCAAAGATTACATGACTGGTGCTGCAATGCCATTGGGCCGGACTCGTTTACTGTTGGATTTTCATTTTTTTTCTTCCTAAAGTGAAGTATTTGAAGCTTGAAGGCCCAAAGATGATTACACCTTCCATGACCGGCCTTGGCTGCTGCAAATTGAATGTCATTTTCGGTTTTCAAAATCAATGAAAACCGGCCTTGTGCTGCAGGCTTGGAGCTCGGATCGGCAACAAGATCTCTTCATCCTTGGCTTATAACCGACTTTCGGTTAAATCAACTCTTTCATAGAGTTTCAAACTCGTTTCAAAGTTCTCCACACGTCAAATCGTGAGGGAAAGATCATGTTCTAGTAAAACAAGACGTCGGATCGTCAACGAGAAGCAAACTCGACGCGAGCATTCGAGGGAGGCATTCATCGCCACCGTGAAGAACCCAGAATTAAACAAAGGGGAGATCCAGATCATTCTCCTCTCTTTTGTAATCAGGAAATCCAATTGTAATCGAGATTAAAGGAATACAAATCAAATTTTCCTTATTGTCTTTTTACTGCAAATTTTCACAAACAAAAGATGGCCGACTCCGCTGGGGATAGCTTCTGTGACGAAGAAGTGGTGGCGCAATTCGGATGTTCATCTCACTGAACAACCGTCGAAACTCTCATGGTAGAGTTTAATCAGCCAAGTTTGAGGAGCGCTATCTCTCCGGATCCCTTAGCCCCAAGGCTATGCGCAAGATCCACAAAGTCTCCAAAGAGACTAAAGCTCCAACTGCTCCAATTGTAGCCGCAACCGCGTAAGGAAGACTGCTCGGACAGCCCCTCCCCCGATAGTAGTGGCTCAGCTTCAGCCAAACCGCGCCAAGACGACGGGTATCGGCGGTCGAAAGATTGCCATGAAGGCGACAAAGCCTTGAAGCAGGCTAAGAGAACGTCGCTCGCACGAAGGAGGAGATCCTTACGACGAGCACATCTTCGAGAATGCCGATCTCAAGTCAACATGAGCTTCGTGTTTGTGAGCCTAAACGGCGACCCTATGCCCTGCGTTTCTGTTTCAGAATGCAAGTCTCGCGGTCTATGAGCCCAACATAGGGCTCTGTGTGAAGAAGACTGAACGCAACCCCAGGGCGCCATTCCACAAATAACGCAACCTCAGGGGTGCGTTCCACAAAATAAACGCAACTCTAAAAATCTGCGTTTCACCAGCAACACCTGGAGCTCGGGCATGCGTTCGGGTGACGAAATTCAATATGGAACCTGGCCTTCTCCGTGGAGCTTCGGGCGCTGCCCGAACCCCGCCGCGGGGGTATTCCATCCCCCCCGGACCCCCTGGCCAGGGGCGCGCCGCTCCTGGACCCGCCGCTCGGCTGACCGGGCAGCGAGACCCCGAATACTCTGTGCTAGCGCGACTAGATTGAGGGGCGGATGTCAAAAGTCCATGGATTCAAAGGCATCTCAACCAGATCATGTTCACAAGAGCCAGTCCTGTCCAATCATGGACTGGGCGGTTCCAATTCAAACCTCACGATCAGGAGCAATTCTCCTCGAATCTTCACAATAGATTTTGAATGAGTTTCATATCGAGAGAAGACCGCGATGCAACAAATCATTCGTTCATTCCAATGTGAACGGCTGATTCCTACGGTCCTCTCGGATGTCAATGCTGCTCATATGCGGCCAAACTATTGGTGTTCGACCAATTACGAACGTTGCTTTGGCCCAACAACGACGACTTCTCACAGGAAGAAGTCTCCAGAGAACCGAATATCCCGAGGTCACTATCAATGTGATCAGCCGAGGGAAAGCCTTAGGTCCTAGTTCTCGACGACTCTGAGACAAGTCGTTCGCGACCGTCAGAGAAATCGCTAACGAGGTTGAAGGAGTCTACCAACGCACTCGGACGCGAACAGAGAACCATTCTCCCTGTCAATTATCGGAGGTTAGCCAGAGGAACCAATTCCGATGATGAACACTCAGCCATTGCAGAGTCCCTGTCATCAGCTCTTTTTGTTGAACATGAGAGTTGCTCTAAGGATCCTGTTGACGAGCCAAGAAGTTCCAACAGACCTCTCGAACCCCGAAAGATCCAGCCCCGATCTGATTATCAAAAATCTGATCTTTAACTCTGTTGAGTTTGTTGTTATTTATAGGGGATTAAGGGGTGTAACCACCTCCTTAATTCGCTCCTAAGTGAGGCTAATGGGATGTAACCGCCCCTTAAATTACTCCTGAGTGGAGTTGTGATCCCCTCAGATCGTGGGAAACGGTTTTGAAACTGTTCAGCTCCTGTTTGAACGAATCAACCGCAAAATCCACATTCCGGTGTAAATTCTGCGTTCAAACGCAGTGTCTGGAAGCTTGAACGCAGTGTCTGGAAGCTGCGTTGGCATCTTGTTGGAAGCTGCGTTTGACAGCGATTAGAGCTGCGTTTGGCAGCGATTTGAACTGCGTTTGGCAGCGGATTGGAGCTGCGTTCAACGTCGGTTGGAGCTGCGTCAGGCAGTGGTTGAAGCTGCGTTCAGCTGCTGATTTGAGCTGCGTTCAGCGGCTGATTTGAGCTGCGTTCAGTGGCTGATTTGAGCTGCGTTCAACGGTTGAAGCTGTGTTCAGCTGTTGATTTGAGCTGCGTTCAGCGGCTGATTTGAGCTGCGTTCAGCTGTTGATTTGAGCTGCGTTCGTGGCTATGAATGCGGCGCATCTTGACGATGGTACGCGGGGAGGACTTCCACGTCTTGATTTGAAGAGACCGTCGATTGTAGTCTCTTTCTATCAAAGTTTTGCAAAGATCGTCATTTTGTAATCTTTACTTTAGCTCTTTGATATGCAAGAGTCGTCAGATTGTAACTCTCGATGTTGATCGTGAAGGCTGTTGATTAGAGCTTCCATCAGTTGTCGTGAAGGTCATCAGATTGTAACCTTTAGCGATCTACGTGAAAGTCTTCAAATTGTAACCTTCTGGAAGTCGTCAGATTGCAACTTCCATCATCGGTGTTTGATGGGGATCAGCTATCTATTGTGATTTTTAGACAGCCTACACTACCAAGCACAAAATTTGTGCTTGGTACCAAGTATACCCATTTCTCTCTCTCTCTCTCTCTCTCTCTATATATATATATATATATATATATAGCAAAACTTATGTCAACTTAAGTGGATAACAAAAAGTTGTCCACCAAATTTTTTAACCATTCATATTGCCTAGGGATCCTTGCATGATATGAAAAAAATTATATTAATAAATGAGTGGCAAGAAAGTTTGGTGGACATCAACTTAAGTTGATAGGAGTCTTACTATATATAAATATATATATAATCACAATGGACAAATTGGTATATCTTGTAGAGACTTGGTGATATGTTGGTATTTTTTTTTAGTTTTGTCAGATTGGTATATTTTGTAGACTCCGGCGCAATATAGTCCTTAAATTTGGCCGGAGTTACTGTTCCAGTTAGTGCTGATGGGATTTTTTACATAAAACCCCTCATTAAAAATCCATCCTGCTCCTAACCCCCTCTCCCTTCTCCTCCTCCTCATCCTCTTCCTCCTCCTTATCCTCTTCAAG